TGGCCGATTATTTCTCTCATTCGTAGCATGCAAAGATTAAACCCGTTAACCCAGTCCGTTGCAATTTATGAGCTTGGAAAGAACATTAACACACTGATAGCCCAATCGCTCACTGAGTGGCCATCAGATTGTTTATCCATCCTACACTGTTCGTCGTTTACATATTGTTTATCAGAGCAACATTTAACGCCGAAGACCATAGCGGGTATGACTCTCAACAGTACTTAATCGCATGAACGGTTTGCTCTTTAGCAACGATGTTTCACCACTGTTAAACCGGATCGATGCCTTCCTTTTTCAGCTGAATTTCACCTGGTGAATGGCGAGTTCACGAGTTTTATTTGAGGTCGGGGTATACAAAGCTGGTACATCAGAGAGTACGAAGCCTTAGAGATAATCCATTTCGTCTCAAAGAGATTAGTCTTCACTCTAATGGTGCGCGGTTATTCTTTATTCTGCTGGTTCCGCTGTTAGAGATTGGCCTATCTCGAGTAAACACTATACTGTCGTCCGCAAATAACAAAATGGGTTAGCCGCTCTTCGTCAAGAATAATACGGTTACTGCAGCATAGCTAGTCGAACAGTGATTCCAAAGCTGCGGCAAATAGTTCTAATTGCATGGTAACTTCTTGGCTAGAATTCAAATGGTAATGATGCGACTTGATTCGTTGAACAATCTGAAATACGTTATGCAAACGATGCTTAGATAATCAGTCAGCCGGGGGCCAACAAATTCTACGCCATCTTCAAAAAACCGTGGTTACCGCAGCCGTCAAATAAATTTAACAGATCAAATCGAATGCCATCTTGTAATCAGCAAAAGCCAAAACAGTGGAACATTATATTTTTTGCACTACTCGGTCAACCACTGGACCATATCAAGATGGTAGATGATGGAAAAACATTGTATGAAAAATGATGCAATTGATACTCCCTGCAAAATGGACGCATGAACAGATTTATGAAGTACAAAAAATGGGATGAAATCTATAAAGTTAAACAAATATGAAAATTAATTACAATTATATACTGAACTAGCCTTAAAATAGGCGATCGCCTTCTGCAAGTTGTCTAATGACGTTTTTTCGTCAACGTCATTTCGCTTGAAAACTTCAAAATAATAGTCGATCGACTTCTCCTGGTTACATATTTCCAGTCGAAGCTGTGCTAATGTGGAGAGACGCTCAACGCTGCACTGCAGAAGCGCGCTGAAAATCTGTGGTTTATAAATGGCATTGCGTGGGCATAGTATACCTCTGAAATTTATAAAGCATAACGGCCAAGGCGTTAATATAATAACGAAACTTTGACAGAAACGACCACAGCTCGGCCTTATGAGACTGCAACACGTGTTCCTTCTTGATGCCATCTTCAGCCATCGGACACTAAAGCAACGATGAAAAGGTGCAAGTTTACGAAGAAGCAAAAAACTTCTTACTCGTTCGTTTACATGGTTAATTAAAAGCTGGCATTTTTCGATCAGACGAGGGAAAAACAGACATAACAGAATACAGTCGTTTTCAGCTAAAATAATGCAACAGGATAACGCTGATGTAAAGTAAATAGAAACGTTTATAAAGTAGTAAATTGTAAAAGAAATCCATTGACACACTGACAGTAATTCATGAGATAGCAACTATCACACAGTCTTCTCTTTCTACATCGGTGGTGTAACGCTACTCTGCAGCAGTACGTCGCTTCGTATATGTCCATTTTAGCCGCAGGTCAACGATGAACTATCACGTTATGGTGTGAACTGATGCAAGAGCCATGCCTGACCTGTGTGCCGAGCAGCACAATGTGCTACTTATGACTAATCAACACGTAGCCGATCTGACTCTAGAACGTTCTGTCCGCAGATGTTCAGGTGGTTTAGCAGACCCCGTTTGAGCGCAAGAAACGAATCACCGGCAAAAAGGTCATTTGTCGCGCAAAACTCAATTCCACGTAATCCACTGTATTTTTAACTCCTATGAACTTTATCCTATGTACTTTTTCAGCACATGGGGTAAATAATCTTAACACAGCTGACCTGGTCGTTTAGATCATTAGCAACACCTATTAAACCGTGTCGTGACAGTCATCCAACAGCCGCGGGCAATCACACAAGTCGTTTATGTCGCCCTTGCTTGATACATTTGTCCGTGTGTTAACGACAACGATGCTGTGCATGGCATGATTCCCAACAAGTTGAAATATCACTAGTCGATCGGAAACGCACTAGGCCAAAACCAGGGAACTCTTTGGGGAAAAGCAGAACGACGAATACTTATCACATCGAGTTGTCCAAGTCAGAGAAACCTAGCTTCCGAAATCGCCACGATATTAAGCTGGTACTGGCAAGCCATCCCGACAATGTCGCCATCAGTTATCTCTTCTCTAGGTCTAACTTTCTAGCATCCAATGCAGAACTTTCCTTTGGAAAGGTACAACCTACAGATGGCGGAAAACTCTTATTCAGAACAGCATTTCCCACTACGGAGCACGACCCGTCATATGTTTGTTCAGAAACCGCTGAAGTGACCGCTTGACAGAATGTAGGTCAGTCAGTTCCAAATTGAAACACTATACTCGAACATCTGTATAATGACTTACGATATCAATGGTCACCTAATACTATCCGCAAGGCAG